AGGAATCCATGCAGAACATCAGCACCGTGGAAATTCTACGAGGGGAGAGGAAGCCATCAGCAGAAACTGCTCTGGTTGGGATCATTCTGGCCTGAGCAGTCTAAGCACCCTCCCTCACCAAACTTTGCAGATCTGCCTTTCACCCAGGGCTTTGCAGATGAGTTGCTGTGTTGCAAGCCAGCCTCTCTCTGCAGGACTGTTCTAGCAGAGGATGAAACCAACTTGACATTTTACTTTCCCTCCTTTTTGACCATGAGATCGGTGTTCAGATCTGATGGGAAAGGGATCTGGAGGTGAAGGCAGCTGCACTACTCTGATGCAAGTTGTCAATCTCACCTTGCATGATAGCTGCTCTGTGTCCACATTCCAGCCAACAGGCCGACATGCTCAGCAACCGCTCTGGATTGACCCGTGTCTCCAGATGAGCCCTGGGAAAACAGATTTGCACCAACATTCTCACACTTGGTGAAGAACAGGGCTACAGATGCCACAGAACTAGGAACGTGCACAAGGGCCAAGAAAAGCACCACCCCTCCTATGAGGCCAATGTCCTATAAATGGGAACATCCCAGCCAACCTGATGAAAGCTTATAGGAGAGACGAGTGACAGCCACAACCACACAGGGCTCAGCTGACAAAGTCCCTCCTCCTTGCTCTTGCATGTAGTTGGAGATCCTGTGGCCACTTCATTGAACCACAGCTCTTGGTTTTACATGCAGTCCAAATGTTTTAGCAGCAGGGGGATTGGGAGATAAGAGGACAGTGTGGTGTAGTGCATGGGACTGAAATTTAGGAGACCTGGTTCTAGTCTCAGATCTGTCACTAGGCAAGTCCTTTCCACTCTGCCTCTTTAAAATGGGAATACCACCACCACCACCAAATGCATTAAGCACTATTGATAAAAGCACTGCATGGCAGCTGGGTGCTATGCCATACAGGTTGTGGGGAGAGGAACTGAAACAGTACTGGTAGGGGATCTGTGCCTGCAGAGACAACAAGGGGCTACCCCATGGATTGTGAACCTGAACATGTGTGGGCCAAAAAGTGTCTTTAGAACACCAACTAGTTGCAAATCTTGGCTAGTGGTTTCTTTGCCATTTAGCATTTTACCTACAATCCCCCACAGGCCTGGCTGTTTCTGCTCAGACAATCAATCACCAGCATCACAAAGAGAACATCTTGCACTCACCGGCTGGGCTCTGGAGTGGGCAGAGAGGCAGTTGTCAGCCCATTATCCCACTGCAATATCCATCTGCTGGACACCAAGTCCTACTAGAACAGGAATCAGCCTCTTAAAAAAAATAAAGCAAATAACTGTCATTGCACATCCCTCTCCATTCCCCTTTCAGAAAGCACACACCATGACCTCTGCATGGTCCCACATGGCATTCGACAGCAGCTTCTCTGCCAGAAGATGGGACCAACCATTCAGGCTGAATCAATGAGCAAGCTTTATGAATGCCAAGTAGCTCCAGAACCTCCCCTTCCAAAGGGCAGAGAAGCTTGAAAATCAAGTTCAAGATAGCCCTGCTAGTCTATTTACAGACTTTAAGGTCAGAAGGGACCAGTATGATCATCTAGTCTGACCCCCTGCACAGGGCAGGCCACAGAATCTCACCCACCCCTCCTAGAATAATCCTCTCACATATGTCTCAGATATTGAAGCCTTCAAATACTTTGAGGGCCCCAAGATGCAGAGAATCCTCCAGCTGTGATCTGTACCCCATGCTACAGAGGAAGGCAAAAACCCTCCAGGGCCTCTGCCAATCTATCCTGGAGGAAAATTCCTTCCCAACCCCAAATATGGCGATCAGCTAAACCCTGAGCATGGGGGCAAGACTCACCAGCCAGACACCCAGAAAGTTCTCTATAGTAACTCCTATCATCCCTCCATTGACCTATTTCCCACTGATAATGAATGGTCAATTAGTTACCAAGATCATGTTATCTCATCAAACCATCCCCTTCATAAACCCATCTAGTTTAATCTTGAAACCAGATAGATCTTTTGCCCCCACTACTTCCCTTGGAAGGCCGTTCCAGAACCTCACTCCTCTAATTGTTAGAAACCTTCGCCTAATCTCAAGTCTAAACTTCCTACTAGCCAGCTTATATCCATTTGTTCTTGTGTCCATATTGGTATTAAGCTTAAATAATTCCTCCCCCTCCCTGGTATTTATCCCTCTAATATATTTAAAGAGTGCAATCATGTCCCCCCCTTTAGACAGAGGCCCCACTGCCACACCTAGACACAGTGGAGAGGCAAAGCTTGTGCATCTGTCACCTAGCACATGTACTTTCCTGCAATGTTGCTGAACAGTTACAATGGTTCAAACTGAACAGCGACCGTCAAGGAAAATAGGTCACTTTTGGCTCCTTTTTGACCACATCAGCCACATGAGACAGACGCAGCTTCGATAGGGCCGTGGGAACATCAGAGGGGGTCATTAACAAGACATGGCCAATCATTGTTAGACCCCATGTCTTCCTGGAGACAAGGTCAGCAGATGGAGCTTTTGAAAGCTCCATAGTAGACTAAGGGGAAGCAGGGAGTCACTTACAGCACAAGGAAAGCCAGTGAAAGCTCTGCTAGTCCCATGCTTGAGGGGTTCTGGCATCTCCAGGCTCGTCTCAGTCCAAAGAGACACCACGCAAGATCTGGAAGAGAGGAATGGCAGGATTAGGCCAGGTCTACATGAGGGGGAAAGCAGAACTAAGGAGGACAACCCCAGCTACGTGAGTTAGTCCATCTTACCATGGGATCCCTCCCCCCGAAGGCCAGGGTTCCCTGTAAGGCGAGTACTTGGGCAGCTGACCAGGAGATTCAGGTAAACATGCTGGTAGCATGTTTCTATTGGTGGGTGGAGTTCCTAAAATTTATTCTGCACATGAATACGAAAAATTGGAGGGAACACTGCTGGGGGGGGGGACCCCCAGGAGACCCATCTTCAGTGTCCATCTCTCAGTAAGTGAAGACCTTAGGGAGGATAAAATTGATTTTTTATTTTAAATTGGATTTTAACTGTTACTTATGTTTTCTACACATTTCCCCACATACTGTATTAAAGGCTCGTTTTGTTGAATACATTTCCTATGCGGTTGTGTTCAATTAAATATCGGTAGCCATCCTAACACAGCCTGATGCAAACCACGTGCAAAGTTAGTCATTCAGCACTTTCTATTGAGTTGTAAGGGGTTAAGCAATAAGGACGCGTGTGTCTTTAGGAAGAGACAGAAGTACAAAAGTCACCCCACCCTGGGCAAGGCCTCACTGCACAAAGCCCAGGAAGCACAAGCATGGGCCTACTAACAGCACATCGGTAAGGGACCTTTCCTGTTAAATGCTCAGCGACCTTGCTACAGCTGAACATAAGCGTGAATTTTGCTTTGATCGGGGCAACCGCCCTTTGTTCTGCCTCTAGTCACTTTACCACTTATGAGTCTTGTATATAATCCCTCCCCCCGCCCCCCCCCCGAGCACCAGTCTTCCCTGAAAGACGAAAATTCAGGCCTACCTCCATATAAGCCCATCTAACCCAAACGCCAATTTTCACACATTCCTGCACCACGCCTCCTTCCCTCCCCCCCCCAACCAAACTGCAGGGGCCAGAGCCCCACACTGCACCCCCATGCTGCATGAACGCCCTGGTTAATTGCCAGCATGTAGCCGAAGCCCATGGGGGCCATGGCACACAAGCCAGCTGAATCACACTCGTGCAAAGCCGCTGAGTGCAGAACCGTATCACGGCTGCAACACCCCCCCAATCTGAGTCACCGCCCCAGCGCTGCGGAGAACAGAGATACCCGGCCCGGCGACTCCTCGTGTTTCAGCGCCCACAAAGTAGCTCCGCAGCAATATCGCAGCTCGACCCCGCCCCGCGGAATCCGAAGGAGCCCAGGGTAAAGTCTCGGGGGGCAAACCACCCAGGCAGCCCCCAGGGAGAGAGGATGGCAGCGGATTGCAAGCAGCCCCGGGCCTTACCTGCTCCCCGGTGCCCCCAGCAGCGCCAACAAAGCCTGCAACGGAAAAGAGCGAATAGCTTCCGAGCCTTGCCTTTTAAGGGGCAGCTCTGCCCTCAGCGGAACCGCTGATTGGCTCCTGCGTGAGGGCCTCCCCCAAAGCCTCCTGGGAGTTGTAGTTCAGCTCGTTCGTCCTCTGCAGTCACCCAGCCTGCCCGGCCACGGAGTTATCGCCTCCCCCTGCTGACCCCCCACTACCTGCCGGGAACCACCCCCGTGCCATCGTCCTTCTCTAGCTGGCCAGCCCGACAAGGAACAAGACGCTGAATTAGGAAGCTCCCCAGTGCAGGCGGCCTGTGCAATCTGAATCCACCCCTCCCCTATGCAGCCGGAGACCGTCTTGCTCTTTCCTCCCTAGGTCTCCTGCCTCCTTCGGTTACCGTGATCATCTTCACCGATTTAGGGAGTTGTCCTGCTCGCCACCCCCTAATGCCAACCCTGCACTTACAACCCCCCAGAACCTGTCCCATGGCCCACTTCAGAGTCACAAACCCTAGGGGTATCAGAGGGGTAGCCGTGTTAGTCTGAATCTGCAAAAGCGACGAGGAGTCCTGTGGCACTTTATAGACTAACTGAAGCGTAGGAGCATAAGCTTTCGTGGGCAAAGACCCACTTCGTCAGATGCATGACAAACCCTAGGTTGAGACACACAGTATAAACAGCTGAGAGTGCAATTTTAGACTGACTTACCTAGTGCTTTGTACGTACCCTGTTGTAAAACTAAGCAAATAGCTAGATAAGTTGACATACTTACTGGAAGACCTCGGCATACCACTGAGAACCACTGCCCAGGGACACCTGAACACCCACCCAAATGATGCAGTGAGGCATTGCCTCTTTCCTCTCCACTGGGGTGTGTTCAACCTACATGGGAGGAGGGAAGGGAAGAGAGGGACTGCTATCTTTTCAGAGTTCCCTATCAGTCAATAACCATGTCATCAAGTGCCAGCAATGCCCTTCTGCCATGTAAACTGGTCAAACTGGACAGTCTCTATGACAAAAGGACACAAGTCAAACATTTGAAATGGTAACACTCATAGAATCATAGGACTGGAAGGGACCTCGAGAGGTCATCGAGTCCAGCCCCCCGCCCTCAAGGCAGGACCAAGCTCCGTCTACACCATCCCTGACAGATGTCTATCTAACCTGTTCTTAAATATCTCCAGAGAGGGAGATTCCACCACCTCCCTTGGCAATTTATTCCAATATTTGACCACCCTGACAGTTAGGAATTTTTTCCTAATGTCCAATCTAAACCTCCCTTGCTGTACTTTAAGCCCGTTACTCCTTGTCCTGTCCTCAGAAACCAAGAGGAACAAATTTTCTCCTTCCTCCGTGTGACACCCTTTTAGATATTTGAAAACCGCTATCATGTCCCCCCTTAATCTTCTTTTTTCCAAACTAAACAAGCCCAGTTCATGAAGCCTGGCTTCATATGTCATAAACCTGTAGGGGAACATTTTAACCAGAAGAAAACACACACTCAGCTCCCACTTTCCTGACCAATTGTACTAACCACCAAAGGTATCCTCACAGAACATACATGCTACAGCTACACTGCCCAGTCTTGCGTAAGAACATATGCACATGAGGCATGGTGATATTCAGCACCATGCCTCATTTGCATACTTAATGAGACACCTTTTTTGCAAGGGGCTTTTGTGCAAGAAGGAGCAGTCTACACAGTTCCTTCTTGCGCAAAAAACCCCTCTTGCCAAGAGCCACTTATCAGGCACTCATCAGGCAGAAAGGCTCTCATGCAAAAGGGAGTTTTTGCACCAGAAGGAGCAGTATAGACTGCTCCCCCTTGCACAAAATGGCAGCTTAAGTATACAAATGAGGTGTGGCCTCATTTGCATATGTTCTTGCACAAGACTGGGCAATGTAGACATAGCCACAGATTCTTAAATCCAGCACAGCAATCATAGCTGAGGACAACATCATTTAACTGGGCAAGTAAAGATTATGGAGGGGAGATACATGTACATGCAGAGTATATAAAGGTCCTCTATTTCAGTGTTTCTCAACCTTTTTTTTTTAATAAAGTAAAGTACCCCCAGTACCTACAGTTTTCAGACACAAAATTTTTTCTACCATTGCAACACATTTGTTTAAACAACTTAATCGTAGCCGGGTAGGCGATGACATTTTTGGGTGTAAAAAGTACAAAAATAATAAAGCACTATAAAACTTAAAACAAAAATTCAGTTTTTTCCAAATTTCAGTTGCGTTGATGTACACTACCCCTCCGCCCCCGACATCTCTCGAGTAACCCTAAGGGTATTCGTTTCACTGGTTGAGAAACACTGCTCTATTTCTCACTGTCACTCATTTTAAACTACACTGAATACAGTTGTCCCATGAAACAGCATGTCATATCTACTATTTCCATTGCACTTGGTAAAATACACAGATCTGTATTCGAATGATGGAAACAGTCTTGTCATAATGGCAGGTGGCCTGAAGTACCTAATTTTTGCTGAACATTTCTGCACCAACATGACTGAGGAGTAATTAAATGCTTTTTAGTAGCAATTTAAGTTACTAAGTGCTTTCTTGGTAGATGTTTGTTGCCGGAGTTTGTCTGCTCCTATTTCTTGAAGACTTTATGGTGCCAAAATCTAAAAAGTGTTTATAATATACTAGTATGAACAAAAATGCCTTTTCTCCCATCACAGCACTAGCTTACATACACTGCTACCTCATCCAGCATACACAACAGTCAATAGAAAACTGTCTTTCATGTGTTACCTTGAAAGTTTCACAATATATTTAATACATTGCTCTGGCTCATTTCTCATTCACTATTTTAAATTTTACTTTTACAACATTCACTCAGGACAGAAGTAAAGTCTAGACCAGAGATCTGAAACTCCTGGCCTGCGAGCCCATCCTAGCTGGAGTGATTGTGTAATCTGGCCGGGAATTCACAGCGGGCTGGGCATGACCTGTCTGTTACAGGCCCCTCCCTATTCCACCATCTTTCCCCCATGGAACCCTTTCCCCTGAGCATGTGGCTTTGGGAATTACCGGGGGTGGGAGGGAGGCCTGGTGCGGCATGGTGGCAGTGGTTGCACCCCACACACACACACACATACTCCCCTTGGTGGCAGGAGCTGCAGGGGAAGCGAAGCGAGTGCATTCCGCTTCTCCCGCAGCTCATGCTGCTGCAGGGAGGTGCAACCGCTGCTGCCGTGTGGTGCCAGGCCTTCTCCCCTGTGATCCCAAAGCTGCGTGCTCAGGGGATAGGTGTCATGGGGGGAAAGGGCAGAGTGATGAGGGGTAGGAGCGGGGTTTGGCAGCTGATAATGTACAGGCCCCCCCTGGCCTGCTGGGAGTGCCAGGCCGGATTGCACAATCGCTCCTGCCAGGACTGGCCCATGGCCTGGGAGTTTGAGACACCTGGTCTAGACTCTTAATGGACCATTAAGGCTGGCCCACAACAATGGGATTGTAGGAGATGGAACCATATCTAAATGTGATTGCTGTTAGCAATGTTGTAAGTTGTTTCTTTAACTAGTCCGGGAGAAATTCTTCACACATGTCAAGACCTAGGCAAGCAAAATTATGCTAGTGGTTAGCTAGTGTGCATTAGTCTTTTATAATAAATGATCCTCATATTCATTCTCTCCACTTCCCAAAAAACCTTCCCTATCCATATTGGCCAAAATCCCCATGCTAGATGCCTGGTAGCTCTATATTGGTGTATAGATAAGGCATAACAAAAGCCTTCAGCTGTATGTTTTTCCCTGCGATGTACAGCCACTTTGCCCATTCAGTGCAGAGGTGCTGAAACATTTGAATGGTGATTATGTTATTAAAAAAATCACCTTTACTGTAAGCAGTTGTGTGACTAGAAGATAGTAAAATGGGTAGCAAAACAGAGAAGGGCGGGAACCAAAATGCAAAGAATAATTTTACTTAAAAGACCAATTTTTTTATTGTACATTGGGGAAGTGCCTTTCCCCTGTGACATCTTGTTTAAAGTTTATAAATTACAATTCCCCAAGAAGTATTAAGAGTTCATTTCAAGACAAAAGGAATAAAACTGTTGCAGTTCTAATTTTCACCATGAATAAAAGCTACCATGATGCTCCTCCAAGACTCATTGTGTACAGGAAATGCCACAGTCTTCCTTTACTTTGAGTCAGACCCGAGTGAAAGGGGGGCCAACCCTTCACTACCGCAGGTTCCAGGTGCAGCACAGGAGTCTGGTGCCTGCTGGTTTGACGCGTGGAGACAGAGCCTCAGCAATGAGGCTACAACATGGCTGGAATCTCTGAAGAGACAGTGTCCAAAGGCTGCCAGTGACAGTCCATCAAGGCATCATAGAGCTCTTCACTCTGTTCCATAAACTGTTTGTTTGCTTCACTTACGTCCATCTGAGGCATTGGATCTAAAGGAGGAAAGAAATAAGGCACAAATGGTTCATATACAAAGTATGTTTACAAATAACTAATACAAATTTTATTGGAACAAAATGCAAAGAGTTTTTGACCTGAGCATCTCAAAGTGCTTTACAGTCACAGACAGAAGGAACCACCATGATAATTTAGTCTGATCTCCTGCACATCAGAGACCACCGACCACTCTTGTAAAAGGCCCATATCCTCTGGCTGAGTTAGGGAAGTCCTCATATCTTGATTTAAAGACATAATTACAGAGAATCCACCATTTACTATAGTTCAAACCAGAAAGTTACCCATTCCCCATGCTGCTGAGGAAGGCAAAAAACCCGTAAGGTTTCTGCCAGTCTGACCTCAGGAATATTTCTTCCAGATCCCAGATCTGATGATCAGATCCTGAGCATGTGGGCGAGACCCACCAGACAGAAACATGGGAAAGAATTATCTGTGGTAACTGAAAGCCCTCCCCATCTAGTGTCCTGTCTGAAGGTATTTGCCAACAGCTGTCATGGAGGAGCCATACACCATGCCACTGCAGGCAACTTCATTATATCGTCCCCACAAGCTTACCAAACTTAGTCTTGAAACAAGTTAGTGTTTTGCATCCTATTAATGTCCTCTGAAGGTTGTTGCAGAATTTCACTCTTCTCCTGGTTAGAAATTCAGTCTAATTTTAAGCCTAAACTTGATGACCAGTTCATATCCATTTGTTCTTATACCAACATTGGCCCTTAACTTAAATAACTCTTCTCCCTCCCTGCTGTATTTAGAGAGATCAACCACATCTCCCCTCAACCTTTATTTTGTTTAGTTGAAGAAGCCAACTCCTCAAGTATCCTTTTGGAAAGTATGTTCTCCATCCCTTTGATCAGCCAAGTAGCCCTTCTCTGCATGTGTTCCAGTCTGACTTTATTTATGCACACAGCATTCCAGAAGAGGTCTCACAGGGGCCTTGTATAATGGTACAAGGCCCCTGCTCTCTCCCTCACTTGATGCACCCTGGGATTGCATTAGCCTTTTTCACAGCTTCATCATATTGGAGGCTCTGTCACCCTGTGATCAACTAATTACATGTATGTCTTTCTCTAGCTCTGAGAGAATGCACTGTAACCTCCCTCCAGTTTGACAGATCACCTTTCAACATGATGCACCATAATCTTGCCTTTAACCAGTTCCTTACCCACCTTTTGAGTCTTGGAGTAATCTCCATCTTCTCCAATTTAATAATTTCCCATATGGAACTGTATCAAATTCTTTACTGAAATCTAGAAAGAACAGATCTACTGCATTTTGTTTGTCTAGAAAATCACTTATTTTCTCAAAGAAATTAAGATGGTCTGGCAACCAGGTGGTATTTCATCCCAATTATCATTTACCCCTATGTCCTTAACTACTCTCTCTTGCACAGTGTGTTCTAAAGCCTTGCATAAATCTGCAGTCAAGCTAATGAACCTGTAGTTTTTGGCGCTCTCCCCCCGCCTCCATAGGTACTATATTTGCAATTCTCCAGTCACCCCATGAGTTTAGAGTAATTAAAAATCCTTCCTATTGGGCTTGCAATTTCATGTGCCAAGTCTTTTAATATTCTTGGATGAAGATTGGTTCTATTAAGCTGTTGAGTTTGGCTTCCAGCTCAGATGTAGTAATTTCTACTTCCATATCCTCATTCCCATTAGCCACCCTACTACCATCCACAGGTTTCTCACTAATCTAATGAAAAACTGAGCCATAGTATTCCTTTTAGGTGTTAGGCCATACCTAGATTACCTTTAACCTCCCCCGCAATGTTCCCTCTAATTTTTTCCATCCATGTGCAAAATATATTTTGCTATGTGCATTGAGGCACATGTGGCTGTGCATCACCACTAGAAACACATGCTGCCTGCTGTGAGTGCTCTGCTAATCTGAATCTCTCCTGGGTGGCTAACCAAGTGCTCAGCTTATAACAGGTAGTAGCAGCAGTGGGAGCTGGAGCCCCAAGCCCTTTAAAATGCTGCTCAAGTGCCATGTGCTCTGGGCGGTGCTAAGGGCTGTGGGAAGGGGGAAGCCCACTGCACTCCAGGCAGCAGGGAGGGCTGATTGCATTGACCCCACCCCTCCCACCTCTGGACCTGCCCCTTGGAGGAACACAGAGCCACCACCCTCCCTTACCTTCCCCAGGGGCCTGCAGTTTGTCACTCCACTGGCTTACAGGGAACACTGACTCCAGTGCTTTTTTTGTGACAATACTGCCAGGTACGCAGTACTGGCACCTCCAGATGCAGTACTAGCACCTCCAGTCAGAGCTCAACAACTTTTCCCCTGGAGTACAAGCATTTTTTTTTTTTAAATACAAAAAAAAGCACTGACTGACTCAATTCCCAATGCTTAGCAGTCCCACTTCTCTCCTTGTTTTCTTTGTATTTATATTAAAGAACCTTTTACTATTCTTGTAATTTCCTTTACAAGGTCCAGCTCTGACTGGTTTTTGGCAGTTCTCACTTTTTCCTCTATATTTTCCTTTCATCTATACTTTCCAACCCCAAGAGGTAGCTTTCCTTGCTGATCCATCCCTTCTTCCATTCTTTGGAGGCTTCCTGCTTTCTCTTAATAACCTAAACTTAAAAAAACAACAAATGGTCTGCTAACACTTTATAGACTAACAAAACATGTAGATGGTATCATGAGCTTTTCTGGGCATCTACATGTTTTGTTAGTCTATAAAGTGTTAGCAGACCATTTGTTGTTTTTTTAAGTTTAGGTTATTAAGAGAAAGCAGGAAGCCTCCAAAGAATGGATTAATAACCTGTTTGAGATGCCTGTTAAATCAGCAACCCCTCTCTAAAATTTCCCCCCTTGCTTGAGGTGCAGGCTCAAAATAGTTTCTGAAACTTTGACAAAGTAATTTCAAGCTTTTTCCACTTTCAGATTCTTGGAGTTCTTCAGTTCAGTCCACTTCCCTAATTAACAATTTTTTAAAAACGTTCACCCTTTTGAAATCAAGACTCCTACTTGCAGATTTACTTTTTTTTAACCTTCTATTTAGATTACACTGAATTGTTTCATGATCACTCAAGCCAATGCTTTCCTCTACAACCTGTTCTTCTAGGAAGTCCTCACAGTTTACTAAAATTAAAGCTAAAAATACTTCTTATTGGTTCATGGATATTTGGTAAAAACATCTGTCTGCTATCACATCCTGGAGTATCTGGGCCTATGATGATCATAGCACTTGTCCCCCAATCTATATCTGGGACATTAAAGTCTCCAAAAATCACAATGATTCTTGGTACTATTTATTTTGTTCAATTCATCATGAATTGAGCAAGTATCACAACAGCCCTGTGAAGTAGATATGAATAGGAGAAAATTACATTTGCAGAAAACATTTATAAAGCACTTGGACCTATGAAGTTGAGTTAAGTTTATACTTGGATTGTTAAAACAATAATGAAAAAAACAAACAAGAAAACCCCAAAAACATTCCACTCTAAAAGAAACCCCAAATCCCCTTTTGTTTGGATTTAATATTACCGGTCACATTTGCAACCCAAAGATTACACTATCAGGCTAGCACAAGCATCACATTAGTGCATGAGTCAGAGTATGAAGTGAAGCTGACTGATCCACTGAAAAGCAAAAAAGAAAACAGACCATAAAAATGTAAAAATTAGATTGGAATAATGCTGAATTTTAATCAGAGCAGATAATATTTGAAAAATTAATCACATGAACTGTTATTAGGATAATAGATAATATATTTTTGAGTTTTGTATAAAATTCAACATCTAAATAAAGTAAGTTTAGTCAGCAAGAACCCCCCCACAACACTGATACTCTAACTGGCACTTCAATGGATTACTTCCACCATATCAGAAAAGAGAAATTATTTTATGAAATATTTTTAAAAACAAAGAGCTTTCCAGTTAAGTGATGTCATAGTCAGGGATCTGGCTGTCTGACTTTTGTAAGTATACATTTAAGAGAGAGAGCGAGACATCTTATACAGTTGCATACTCAGCTCATGACTATCAGAGTAAACAGCGCACAATTGTTGCTGCTTCCCAATTAAATTCAAAGGGATAGTAAAAACTTGAACAAACAGAATACACATCTGTGATGGTTTTACAACAAGGAAGATTTATTAAAGGAAGGACAACATCTTTTGATCTCCACATGATTTTAGTTCGTATTTCCAAGAATCAACGGGTATAAGCACTACTCCATACAATCCTCTCAATGTTAGCCAAGACAATTAGTCTGCGCCCCAGCAAGGCTCAAGACTGGAATAGCAAGATGGAAATAAGGGAGCAGTGTAAGGGACTTCGTAGGAAGTCTGTACCATACATGCTCACACCACCTGCGTGCAACTTTAATGAACCCAAATTTATTTAAAAATTACAGGTTATTAAATGCAGGTGTTAAATGTCAATCCATGAAAACCCTGTATCAATATAATGAAAACAGCCAGCTGCCATGCAGATTGAATAACACATACCTTCCAATGCATCTTCACCAACTTCTTCATATGTCTGCAAGGGCAACAAAAATATCTTCAGGGCAACAAATATATTACTGCACCCGAAAACATCTCTGCTGCCACACACTGGCACTTTCATACAAGGACAGACTAAGGTAGAATCCTTAGGACCCAAGCTCCTGGCTCCAGTCCTATTAGGTTCTGACTTACTGCAAGATCAATGCTCTAGAAGTCAATCTTCTAGTGTTCGATTTAGTGGGTCTAGTATACACCTGTAAATCGAATGCTGAGGGAAGCCCCCGCCAGCGTCTGGTACACCTCCTTTTGCCAGGAGTAGAAGAAGCTGACAAGAGCATTTGCTCCCGTCGGCCTCTCGCTGTGTGGACACTGCCAAGGCTTGGCTTAAGGTAAGCCAACTCCAGCTATGGATTTTGCGTAGCTGGAGTTACGAATCTTAAGCCGACCTTCCTGGTATAGTGTAGACCAAGCCTGAGATTCCATGTAGGTCTAAAAGATGCGGCACATCCTGGAATCCTTGCAGTATTGCATGTTCATACACAGGGTTTGTGGTGGGATCCTCAGAAGACAGACTTAAGAGTGTTATCCGTTGTGCCTATACTCAAGGTATCTTTCCCCCAGCCATAACACAGGTCCCTTTATAAAGCTCTGACCCCTTTCCCCACCATAAAGAGAAAGCAGAAGGCTGCAGTATCAGCCAACTGTTTGCTAGCTGGCTTTACTTCCCTATGCAGCAGGAAGATCAAGGAATCAGGAAAACAGGTTTCCTTTTTGTTTGTAAAATGCTTTGGAATCTTTTGTCCTGAGAGGTTACTGAAATATAAAAAAATAGTGCCATGTCCCTACCTGCATGGTGCTCTGTGTGTATCCATACTGGGGATAGCTGTAGCTATAACTGCCTGTGTTCTGGTCGTATCCCCACTGGGCATAGTAGTTCTGATATTGTTGGTAATACTGGTTATAATTATAGCTGTACATCTGATTGTATTCCACTGTCTTCATACGGTTACTTTAAAAAATGAAAAGAAAGAAGTTACAAACAATGAAGACTTAAAAAAAAAAAACCCAGATGAGTAACGTGATTTGATCCACAACTCCTTCCAACACCGTGGACCTCAGGATCCTTCAAATGTATCATGCGACTTTTGTTGGGGGTGGGTTTTTCCCCCATTTTCACACATTTGTGGGAGGGACTGGGTTGGTTTTCCATTCTCACTATTATTTTAGTTATTAGAACACTTTGCTTTCTTACTACTGGATTCGTGTAATACAATTTTAAAGAGTCGGAGAAGGACCAGCTGAGAACTGTGAGCATCAGGTGTGGAACACCTAGACTCACTGGAATCCAGGGTTCAAATCCCTACCAGGAGGATCTGATAAAGCAGAGATACACGGAGTACTGTGTGGCGTACTCAAGGGGGTGGTTTGGGGTTTTAAAAACAGGGGTTTCTTTTTCAGTATGTGGGTGCTGAAGACCTCTGAAAGCATTGCACAATAGGAGTATATCCTGCTCTGTGGCAAAACTTCCCCTCACAAGCAGTGTGCAGCAGACTGTGTAATGAATGGTTGCCCTCTTCCTTTCAGAGGGGGAGGTGCAGTTCTGTGCTGTATCATATGTGATATGCAGACCACTTATGATATGCATTCAAATGGTCTGTGAATATGCCAAATTCTCTTTGCTTGCCATACAACAATGTTTTACAAATTCCCGATTAATGTGGTTTAAAATAAAAGAGGGGATAAGGAGAGTGCAAAAATTTCCTTGAAAATGAAAACATTACTTCACACATGAAAATACCCTTAATTAAGAAATTAAAGAGTGCGAGAGTAAAGAGCAAACAAAATTTTATCACTACAGCATGACCCCTTTCCCTCATTAACTCCTAAGAGTTTTGGGAACACTGAAAAGTTGACTGGAGAGTACGTATTTATTTAGTTGTATTACCATAATGCCTAGGAGCCTTAATCACAGATCAGGATCCCACTGTGTTAAGCACTGTACAGATACAGATCAAAGATGGTCCCCATTCCAAATAGTTTACTAGCTACTGAATATTGCTATGGAAAGTGACCCAAACTTTGGTTACCTAAGACTCAAACAATGTTAGATCATTTTCTACTTTAATGTAGAGGGACATTGTTAGGTCAAAAAAAATCTTATTTAAAAAAGATACAAACCAGAAATTCTTACTGAAGTGTAAGATTAAAACAAAGGTGTCAAAACATGTTTAGTCTTGGTTTAATTTTTGCACTTCACTTAGGCTGAACAAAGAAATTAGAATCTTCATTTTAAATCAGATTAACCTTTATTTTTCATGTTTCTAGTAAATGTCATTGGTGGTAGTGGAGGAATTCTTGTACACAAGTATAGTGTGGCTATCTGAGACTCTTATGGGCTTTCCCTTGTTTGTTTTGTGATTTTACTGTGTGGGATAGGCACTGAAAGCACTGGATGGATGACTACATAAAAATAATAAAATTTGGCTTGCTAGATCTTTAGGGAAATGTTTAAATCCAAACCACACACTTTTCAAAGAGTAAAAATATCAGATCTCTCTATTCATATTGTGTAAGACACAATCTTCTGAAGTGCAGAATATAAACTTCAGTCCTCAACTTCCTAACAGTGACCTCCTATATGTAGATAAGCAGCAAAAATCAAACAGGTATGAAAAGCTCAGTTTTCTTTATTGTATATGATTTTCACCACTACAAGACAGAGTAATAAAAAAGTCAAACAGTCCAAATCAATGTTTAATGAACTTCAGTACAGTAACTCCAATTTTAACATTCACATAATTCAGTTTAACTTAAATTGATCTTTACATTTTATTTTAAAAACAGATTTTAAACTATTTACAAATCAGACAGGCTTATGCAAATGCATCTACAGAGATTATGTTCAGACATCAGTTGCTAAATATAAAGTATGAGCAGAAAAGAGAATTATTACAAAACACTCATCTGCTCTCATACTTACGCTTTTGGTATGGCCACACTCAAGCGTACAGGTTTAGAGCCCAATCCCACAGCTCCTTGGCACTCTGTCAGGGCTCTTTTCTGTTCCAGCTCATCCGTGAATTTCACAAACCCATAACCTCTGCAGAAAGACATGGAATGATACGTATCACACCAAAGCAAAAGGCATGGCATTTTCAGATGTTTGAGACAAAAAACACCCGGATTTAGGAATCCTCTACAGCTAATAAAATATGGAGTTGGGAGAATATTTTACCAGGCAAATGGAAACACAAAAATGAAAACCTGTCCATGTGTTTTTAGCAGGGATTTAGCAGTTGTTGGATTCCCTATTCCAGCAACTTTGTTATTTGCAGTGTTTGAGGTACTGCAGTATTTTCAAAGGCATCAGAACAATAATACCCATCTTGTATTAGAAGATTTTTGGGGCTCTTAATGGAACTGGCATGAGATACACTGGAGCTAAAAACCTGGACGGGGGTGTTGTGAAAGGGAGAAGATAGTTCTTAGGCACCTGGATAGACACTGTGAAAAAGGATCAGGCATTTGATCTGTGTTATCTCAAGCTATAGAGATGAAGGGAAGAGGAGACAAAGAATCAGACCAGGTTTCCTCCTCATCTGGCAGCAATGGAAGGGGGAATCAAAGCCATCCAGGATAGCTTCTTAGTCAGCGCCAAGTTAATAAGCAACCATAGATTTCACTTGTGTCTAAAGTCGGCCCCACTGTGATGCACAGAATTTGCCTTTTCTGCAGGATGGATTAACACAGGATTCCTAGTCAAAGCCATCTACACTGGGAACTTTTCTACAAAATTTCTTGTTGGGGCGAATACCTGCACTGCTCTGCCAGCATTAGAAACACTGGGCATATTAATTATATCTGTGCTGGACAGCCTCACTTGAACAAGAGTGGCATGCAGCCAGCTGCCCTTCAACACAAGTAACACAATGTTACTAACGCCAGTAGAGCAGAACCAGAATTGGCAACAGCAGAAAACATTTAGAACATTTTGCTAGCGTAGAAGAGGCTTTAAGAGTGGGATCTAGATGTAGTGAGTCAGAGATAATTCAGCAGCACACAACTGAATAGTGCCAGCTTGCAGGAGGTGGACTGGGCTGCCTCTCTGGACATGACAAAAAGATCACAGACTTAGGAGTGAGAG